AAATTAGCAGGCTACCCCAGTGAGAAGAGTCCATTTCAGGGCATTGTGGAGAAAAAATTCAAGGGGAAGTTTAAATAGACTGTAAAGTCTGGACAGAAGGGGAAGGGAGGTTTTGGAGGTCGCAAAATGCAGAAATGATATGACCAAAACTCATATAGCAGGACAGTGACAGATGGTCATGTGTTTTCTGTAGGGCTGCTTCTCTTTAGCAAATCATTTCTTTATGGGAACTCTTTTTTAATCTAGTCTCTTTGTTCTTCACCCTTTCAATCTGCATTCAAAAACTTCTGCAATATCACATTCACTTCCTTCCCTGTGGTGGTTTTACCCTGATGGGCAGCTGAGCTCCACCACAAACACTCTCTCACTCCCCCTTCTGAAAGAAAGAGGGAAAGAAAATGCAATGGAAAGAGTTTAAAAGTTGAGTTAAGGATGGGGAGATCACTCAACAAGGATCGTGATGGGCAAAGCAGACTCAGCATAGGGAGACAGGAAGATTTCCTGCCTAACTACTACTACTCCCAGGCTAGACAAGTGAGAACCAAAGGAAAGAAACCAAAACCACCTTCCTTCCCCCCATCTGAGCTCTTCCAGCTCCTTCCCCCGTGCAGCGCAGGGGAACAGGGGGACTGGACTGGGGGTTGTGGTCAGTCTGTAGCACTTCATCTCCACCACTCCTTCTCGGTCCCTCTCTGCCCCTGCTCCACGTGGGCTCCTCTCCACGGGCTGCAGCTCCGGCCCGGGGCCTGCTCCTGCGGGGGCTCTCCATGGGCCGCAGCCTCCTCCAGGCCACATCCACCTGCTCCAGCGGGGGCTCCTCCACCCATGGGGGGGCTGCAGCGTGGAGATCTGCTCCATGGGGGACCCATGGGCTGCAGGGGGACAGCCTGCTCCACCAGGGGCCTCTCCCTGCACAGCCCGCAGGGGAACTGCTGCTGCCTGCCTGCAGCACCTCCTGCCCTCCTGCGGCCCTTCTCTTGGGAGCTGCAGGGCTGCTTCTCTCACGCTTTCACAATCCTCTCTCTCTCGGCTGCTGTTGCACAGCAGTATTTTCCCCCTTCCTTAAATCTGCTCCCCCGAAGCCCACCCAGCAGCACTCCCTGCCTCGGCTCTGGCCAGCAGCAGCTCCTTTTTGGAGCCATCTGGAGCTGGCTCTGCTCTGATGCTGACAAGATGGGGCTGCATTCATTTCCAAACTGGCTGTCCTAAAGCCCTTCACCTTTGCATTACATTGAGGCAGCGGTGATCTCAGCCTTGTTGTAGTTCTCTGCGTAATGTAGCTCCCAAAGAGATCCCAAGGTCCAGAACAGACATGGAAATAACTGGGGGGGTTGTAAGGAAAACAATTGTATTCCATCCTACAGCAACACCAGAGCTGTCTGGAGAGTTTAGGAGTCATCTGAATTTTGTTATTTGTGTTTGATCTGAACTAAGGAAGAAAGGACCAGTTACTAGAAAAGAATGCATGCCTGACAATGATACAACCAGATGGGAGGCTGCTTGATCTGGGTCTGTGGGTTTTGGATCTGTACGCTGTTGAGGAGATTGTTGGAATTCTGATTACAGAATCAAGAACCTCCAGAAAGTGCAGGACGCCAGTGCTGGATGGAGAGCACGGCTCACACTTTGACGCTTCCTGGGACTGCCTAGCACATTAACAGGTCTCGGCCCCAAATGGCTGTGCTTCAAAAAGGTTTCCCTCTCTCAAGCATTTGCTGCTCTGCACTTCCTTTTCTTTCACTGGAGAGTCAGATCAATTGGTTGCTTTGCACTTGGACATGTTCCTTGGAAAGCTGCTTAAACTCTCTTCAAACCCTGGACTACCTGGGAATTGATTGCTTCCTCTCACTGGCACTGATGCTGTAGCTGGATCCCTCAAAATCCCATTTGACTGCTTCTGCTTCCTGAGCAGGTGACAGAAACTTTCACAACCAGAGAGCAGAGAAGAAGGAGTTGGAGTTCTGCATAGGGGAAATATTTGGAAGTTTTGAAGATGTTTCCCCTGCTCAGCTGCCAACCCGACGTTAACCAATCACCTGATCTTTTGCATTCCAGTGTGAGGAAGGTTTTAGCAATTCGTGTCAATAGAGAGCTTGAAGGGAAATGCGTTCCTTTCATACATTGTAAACTTTGATTCTTGCCCTATTTGGAAGACTGAGCCATTTATGACACCAGCAAAAGTCTCCAATCAGTTAGGAAGGAAAGTTAGTTCTGAAAATACTCAGTCACCTCTGTGCATGCCAAACCCTTAATGGCACTGTGCAAAACGCAGATTGCAGTGATGAATCGCGTTGTGGAATGAATGGCAACATACATATTTGGCTCCAGATCCAAAATGTCACTTCTTTGGCCATTTTATTTAGGGTAGCACTCCCCTCCCCTCCCATTCCCTCCCTGGCCCATTCCTTACTTCCCACCAATACCCCACCCCCTCCCTCCCCTCCCCTCCCCTCCCCTCCCCTCCCCTCCCCTCCCCTCCCCTCCCCTCCCCTCCCCTCCCCTCCCCTCCCCTCCCCTCCCCTCCCCTCCCCTCCCCTCCCCTCCCCTCCTCTCCCCTCCCCTCCCCTCCTCTCCCCTCCCCTCCCCTAAACTCCCCTCCCCTAAACTCCCCTAAACTCTCCTCCCCTAAACTCCCCTCCCCTCCCCTAAACTCCCCTCCCTAAACTCCCCTAAACTCCCCTCCCCTAAACTCCCCTAAACTCCCCTCCCCTAAACTCTCCTAAACTCCCCTCCCCTCTCCTCCCCTCCCCTCTCTCCCTCCCTCCCCTCCCCTCCCCTCCCCTAAACTCCCCTAAAAAACTCCCCTCCCCTAAACTCCCCTCCCCTCCCCTAAACTCCCCTCCCCTAAACTCCCCTACACTCCACTCCCCTATGCTCCTCTACACTATCCTCCGCTACAACTCCCCTCCCTACACTATCCTCCGCTACACTTCCCCTTCCCTAGACTCTCCCCTCCCCTACACTCCCCTCCCCTACATTCCCCTACACTACACTCCCCCAAACCCCCCTACACTACACTCCCCTGCACTCCCCTCCTCTATGCTCATCTCCCCTGCACTCCCTCCCTACACTATCCTCCCCTACACTCCCCTCCCCTACACTCCCCTACACTCCCCTCACTATCCTACACTATCCCAACACTATCCTACACTAGCCTACTCTCCCCTACAATGCCCTACATGCCCCTGCCCTGCCCTGCCCTCCCCTCCTCCCCTTCCTTTCCCTCCCCTTCCCTCCCCTTCCCTCCCCTTCCCTCCCCTTCCCTCCCTTCTTGTCCTTTTCTTTCCCCCTCTCTTCTCTTCTCCCCTCTTCTTCTCCCCTCTTCTGCTTCCTTTCACGGATCTGAACGCAGAAGGGGGAGAAGCGTAACTCCACATCGCTTCAGTCCCTCTGGCAGCTTGTGTCACTGGCTGATCCATGGGAATCCATCAGCAGCAATCGGAAGCCTTCCAGCTGCTGTGGGACCAGTCAGGGAACAGTCTCAAACTGGGAAGCGCTGACTTCCTTCCTTCAGCGGCTCAGACAGGTGACTTTCAATTTCGCCCTGGCTGGGTTGTGTCCCCTTGCTCTGTTCCCACCTACACTGCAGTTTGGTTTAGAAGCAGCAGCACGGTTTGGCAGTAGTTCCACTACTTCCATTTTCGGTGATTTGGCTTGGCTCACCAAGTGGTTTCTGTCAACAGAACACAAGAAGGAGATTTTGGTTAGAAACAACTACATGAGGAGCTCCTTTCCACATGGGCAATGAATATTTATCCTTTCCTAATGGAGACTACAGTGGAAGAGATAAGGACAGATCATTCCGAGAGATTTTTCAGAGAATTGTCCCTTGGGGGTGCTTAGTCCAGAGGACCAGAGTTCATCTGTCCAAAGTACACCATGGAAGCACTCTGAATTACTTCCTAACAGAAGCATGGCCTTACCATGTCTGATACGGCTTTGGCTGGTTTCAGTGTTCTTCTTCACTTCGTAAATACCTACATTAAGTACTGTCCCATCAAGCAAATACCTTATTCTCTTGCTATCTCTGAGTTGATGGAAGACCCAAGACACTTGGCTCTTCACATCATTGGAAGAACCAAGTGTACTTCCAATATTCACAGCTTCGGAGGAAATGGAGATGAGGTTGAGAGTGGATGAAAAACACCAAGTGTTCTTCCCATCTTCACAGCTTCTAAGCAAGTGGAGATGAGGCTGTGCAAGAACCAAACAAACTGCTGATCCAGAAGCAGCCTAAAGACTGTCTTTAACCAGGGCCTTGCATTCTTCATCTTTCTACCATTACTCGCTTTCAAGGGCATGATCGTTATCTTATTGACTTCCTACCACTACAGCAACGCACCTGCTTCTCTCACAAAACTTATGGGTGGGAACTGGAAAGATTCACCAGCATTCTGTATTTCACTCCTCATCTCAATTCTCTTTTGGCCTGCGAAGCTTTTCAGATCAGAGATGAAGATCAGATGTAATCTGGAGCTTGGGATACTGCAAAGGAAAAGAAGAATCATCCTGAGAACTCTTTTCAACCTCACTTGCAAGCGCCAAAGTCAAGAATACCAAAAGGAAAAAGGATGCCACTTGATCATGGTAAGCATAAATTTGAGCACAGGTCTCCTCTAACTGAAGCGAGGTTAAACAGGTTCCAAACAAGGTTAAGGAGCACACCCACAATCATTTCCATAAAACTGTGCTTTCAAACAAATGGTTGAAAGATTTAGATTTTCTTACAAGAGAAGAATGAAAAATAAATAAAGAAAAGAAAATGACCAGGACATGCAGTCTAGCTTACTCTAGCTTACTTTGCCTAGTTCAGAATCTGCGTCTTGGGTCACAATCAGGAAGCAGCATTGTGCAGAAATGCCAAAGCCTCCCCAGACTTGTTCTATCTTCATCAACAAGGGCTTTGATACTGCTGCCTCCTCAGCAACATCGGCAATTGACTAGGAAAGTTGGTGTCCACCAGGTCAAATCAGGACTAGGCAATCCCTCTTGCCACAGCTGCACACTTGCACCAGAGTTGGCAGGTCAGAGCGATGGACAGAGAAGCATCTAGAAGAGTGTTAGAAAACAGACTTTAGAACAGATTTCCATCAGCCCAGGAACAATTACTTGCTCATCCCTTCAGACTGAACTCCAAGTAGAAGCAGGTGATCCCAAGCTGCATTCCTGACATCTATGCTGCAAAGTCATCAAATGTGACATGTTATTCTACCAGTCTGTAATGAACATAAACAAGAGTTTGAGTTGAGGATGTTGGTTTAGAATCAAGCTCAAAGTGTTAGTCCTTGGATATGTTTTTGTCTGCAAGTGTTTTCACTGTTTCCCAGACAATGTCTCCAGCAAGCTAGCTGTTTGTTTCATTTGTTCTGTTCTGTTTTGTTCTGTTCTGTTTTGTTTTCTCAGTAAGGTTTCTTAGAGAGATAAGATTGAAGTGATCGTATTGCATGCCCATCCATCCCTCCCCTTTGCTTGTCCAGAGCTTTCACCTTGTCTACCACGATGCATGAACTTGGTCATAGGCACAGTTGTTTCAAAGACATTCTGCTGCTCGACCTGTTGTGAAAACAGAGAGCTAAGTATTTGGACGAGAACATGCTTCCACCTGCACTATGACCTCCACAACTAGGTATGGAGCCATATCAGCCAGAAGGAAGTTTCCTTCACAGCTGCTGCTTCTTACACTATCTGGACTCTTACTTTTACTCTTACTTCCCTTTCCTGCATTAGCACAAAAAAATAAAAATAAAAATAAAAAAATTTGGAGATTACCTTTGCCATCTGATGTCTTCGTTTCCAGAAACTACACGGAATCACCTTTATGAGAACTGTCCCACACTGCGAGCATGCGTGTTGCAGTCAGGCCAGATATGTCCCTTCTACGTCAATAACCAAACCTGTCAAGTTAAGAACGTGTAATTAATGAAAAGGAAATCCTTCTATTTTGATCTGAGTTCACTTTTTTTTTTTTTTTTTTTCTAGACCAAGAAGAACCAGCAAAAGTCGGGTGAAAAATGAAATGAAAAATGTTAAGGCCAGGCAGCTTGCTCACTGCAAGCGCTAATCTGAAAGCAGATGGAGTGCATCTTCATACACTCCATCCTGAGAGAGTCCACTCAACAGGCCAGACCAGCTGATGAAGTGCATTGCTGTCCTGAAGTTTCATGTGATGGGCTACTTTTAAGTCTCTTGTTTATGCTGTCGTACTTGAGGTCTATGGCAGGACCACAGCACACTCTTATTTGTCTACCCTTCTTTCTTGATCGTGTGTGGGAAAGAGAGAACGTGCAGAGGCCCTCAGCCACATGTTGCACCTGTCACTCTGTGCAGCTACATCACTGAGCCCAAGTACCAAACTTCATGCTTGTGAAAGGACTTTACACAAACTACAGAAATCTAAAATGAAGCATCCAAACACTTACAGAAGGGTGGGCCCTCTCGATGCACCTCAATGTGGGATCCACAAGTCCTCACGTGGTTTCATCCAGCACACTTCTCTGTCCCTCCTCGCTCAACTTGCTCAGAGGCAGCTGTTCCCAAGGTGTCACAGTGACATCATTCAATTCTGTTGCTGAAGTCATCACCGTAGGCCCCTGGCAGCGGCAACACAACACTCTCTGTTGCTAATGCGAATGTCTCAGAAACAAGTAGAGAAGTACCACTCTCCCCAAGCTGACTTGAATTGGAGTAGTTCCAAAATTATTCTCTGCCCCCCTACATCTGGGGAAGGTGTGTGAGAAATCTTTTCCTTAAGAAAGGATTACAAGCCAAAAAAAGCTTGCTTCTGATACGTTCCCCTTACTTTTAGAGCTGTTCACCTTTGATTTCCAAGGAAGAAAAAAGAAGGTGAAATCAACAATTCTCCTCCTCCGAGTTGGGAATAGGAAATAAGCCCAATTATTTAGGAAGCCTGAAAAAGGAAACTATACATTTCCTTGTTAAACACCTTGTTGCTTCTGAAAACTTTTCCAGTACTTTGCAGCTGCAGTGCTTTTCAGTGGGTGGGCAGCCGAGCTCCATCACGGCCACTCTCTCCCTCCCCCTCCTCAAAGAGAAAGGGAGAGAAAATACGATGCAAAGGGCTCAAGGGTTGAGACAAGGACAGGGAGATGGCTCAGCAAGGATCGTGATGGGCAAAGCAGACTCAGCATAGGGAGACAGGAAGATTTCCTGCCTAACTACTACTACTCCCAGGCTAGACAAGTGAGAACCAAAGGAAAGAAACCAAAACCACCTTCCTTCCCCCCATCTGAGCTCTTCCAGCTCCTCCCCCCGTGCAGCGCAGGGGAACAGGGGGACTGGACTGGGGGTTGTGGTCAGTCTGTAGCACTTCATCTCCACCACCCCTTCTCGGTCCCTCTCTGCCCCTGCTCCACGTGGGCTCCTCTCCACGGGCTGCAGCTCCGGCCCGGGGCCTGCTCCTGCGGGGGCTCTCCATGGGCCGCAGCCTCCTCCAGGCCACATCCACCTGCTCCAGCGGGGGCTCCTCCACCCATGGGGGGGCTGCAGCGTGGAGATCTGCTCCATGGGGGACCCATGGGCTGCAGGGGGACAGCCTGCTCCACCAGGGGCCTCTCCCTGCACAGCCCGCAGGGGAACTGCTGCTGCCTGCCTGCAGCACCTCCTGCCCTCCTGCAGCACTCACCTGGGGGGCTGCAGGGCTGGTGCTCAGTCCTGTCCCACAGCTGTTGTTATGCAGAAGTATTTTTCCCTTTTCTTAAATCTGCTCTTACAGTGGCGCAAACAACATTGTTTATTGGCTCAGGTCTGGCCAGCCAAGGGTCCTTTGGAGCCATCTGAAACTGGCCCTTATCTAATATGGGGCAGTTTCTTGATTCTGCTAACAGAGGCCACCCCTGCAGACCCCCTGCTACCAAAACCTTGCCGTATAAACTCAATACATTCTCTTACCAAAACCATAAACCAAACCTAACCAAATAAATAACGTTACGTTTAACAATAGAGCAAAAGGAAATAGGAAAAAATACATGTACTCAATTTCCTGTAGCTACGTAGCAGACAAAGTGTATCCCCAGGCAGGTAGTTACATCATTATATTTTGACAAACTTATGAACCAGATCATAGCCTTTTTTTTTTTTTTTTTTTTTTTTTCCTAGCAGATCCGCCTTACAGGCATATTTGACAGTTTCAAATGAGGGAGAACTTCAAATGTTTCCTTCAGATTTTTTATCTATATTTGCTGTTGCCAGCTTTACTAGATTATGAACTTGTCCCAAGACTTCCTTTCTGAATGAATTCTGTATCCAAAACACCAGCACCAGCACAGAAAAGAAACAATTGCATCCTTTCTTATTTGGTTCATATCTATCAGATGTCATTCCACTCTCTTTTCAGCTTTGCTTCAGTAGCCAGTTTCTGAGACTGTTCGAGGTGCTTCTCTAGCCATCTGATGCTCCTAATGATGGTATCCTACACAATCCCATTAGTTCATCTAAAAAAGGAAATGTCAATCAATACCTCATCTGGGTCAGCTTTAATCAAGTACCTCTACCAGAAAAGCACTTGCTATCAAATGTAACAGAGAAGGTAAAAAAATGTGTTTAAAATACATAAGCATATTAATGAGTTGTGAACCTTTCCTTATCCTGACCTCTGAAGCACTGTACATGGAAGAGGCTTGCATATTACATAAATCACCAGTGACTTATGAAAATTGACAAGATCACATGAGTCAAGTCAGTTTTTCTGTAAAGCAGTGCTCCATCCAGTTATGATTACAGCTTGTGATAAGCTCAGCTCCCACCTTTCTATTTTTCTTTAGGTGGTCCCTGTAACAAGGAGCACAGGAAGTCAGCCTATCATGCAATAGACCACCCACTAAATTTTGCACGACTGAAATCATGATTGAAATAAACATGATTTTTGCAGTTTTCCTAATAAGAAATTCACATTGATTTTAATTAGAATTTAATAGTGTAAGAACTACATTTGGTATAAAATTCTCTGGCCCAATATATGATCTATAACAGTACCTGTTGCCAATGCTTAATGAATACGTATAAGAAACAGGAGCAACAGATACAAATAAGAAACATACGTTTTCAGCTTCCAGAAAACTTCTGTGTGACACAGTAATTATTTATCAGATGCATGTCTATGTTGTGAACTGCAAATATTTTTCAAAGCAAAGACAAAAAATAAAGACAGGAATATTAGATAGCCCACTGTATAAATAAAAAAGGGATACACATACTACTGTAAGAACCATTGCCTACAGCAGTACTCTGGAAGGATACTAGCTTATATCATGCTGTATAGATAGTCATGGCCCAATACTGAAAGACAAAATTTTAGTGAGAGTATTTGAAATATTTTATCTTTCTGGTTGTTTGTTAGTATGTCTAAAAGCATACAAACTTTCAAGAAGTATTAATAGGAAGTCACAAACATCTTCTTACTCATACTCTGAGGAAAAATAAGATATACCTCAAATAACACTGAGTCATCTAAAGAGAAAACAAGCACCTACAGCTTCCTTGAAGGTTAGTGGGAGAGATGAATACCACCTGTGATAATCAGACCATTTTCATGTTAATAGGATTTTAGAGACTTGACATCACTTTAGAAACCTGTAAGTATTTACATTTTTCTTTTGAAGGTTCATGGCATACTTTAGGAGCTGCAAATCACTTAAATCAGAAGAGAATACATGTCACTAAAGACAATTCACTGAACAGTTCAGGATACAGACTACTTGTTGGTACTAGTCAATTCCAGCACTTTAATCTCTCATGAGCAAAAGGAACAAAAAGTATACAGTACTACAGGGGAACATCTGTCAGGAAGTAAAAAATGTTTTCTTTCACTAAAATAAAAGTAAATATAAAATAAGCAAAATAAAAGCACTTTCCTACTCTGATCACTGTTCAGACTAGCTATAATTCAGACTACTTCAGCTGAATTTTTGGCAGTGCAAATCTTCTTCTGAAATGTTATTGTCAGTGACGTGACAAGTCAAAAAGACAATAAATTTGAATTGTTTTTACTAGCCAGAAATATACCTCAGTTGACTGATGTTTTGTTATTTGAAACAGTAGAAGCCTACCCTGGCAAGACATATATTATTCTGCAGTGAATAAAATTAAGATTTTCAATTCTGAAAAATATAATCTGCAAACTTTTTTACACAAATTTAATAAATTTTTCTTTCCTAATGATTATTAAGATTTTGGTTGGAATTCACATCACATTAAAACACTACCCCAGAGCTCCTGGAACTTAATTCTCCAAGTCATGGCTCATATGTTAAGTTAGTTTTTTTGTTTTGTTTTAATATCTTTTTAAAAAATGTCTGATCTAATGAAAGGAAGGTAATTACCTGTATAAGTATTTATAATAATCACAAATAATTAACCTTTATCTTATTTTTTGGTATGTCCTGCCAACCATGACTAATAGCAGTATTTTGCAGGCAGGCAAATACCAGCATTTTAAGTTCAGTTCAATTGTCCAAGTAATATTTTGACACATTGGGTTCCAGTCCACAGCATGAAGAAGAGCTGACAGATCATGGGTCTTGATTGTATCACCTTTCAAATCCATCTTCATTAGCCTAGAGAAATGAAATGTAAGTAGTTCATTACAGCTTTTATCCAATTTGTGATCAGCTTGTGCAGTTAAGACTGCTCATTCATAAAGATGTATTGTTAGAGTCTCTAGAATCAAACATGATGAGTCTGACAAGTGAAGTCAAGTCTTAAATAGTTATTTATTAGAATGTGTTTTAAAGGCTTTAGAATCTATTTAAAATAAAGGGACTTTTTTTTTTTTTTTTAATAAAAAGAAAGTATGGAGTTTAATTTTACTATGTTATCTGTATTGTCTGAATCTTCCCTGTGTTACCTGAATTGTAGGTTTTAAACTGGTTTCACAGTGCCTAGAGTTTTCTTTAATGTACTGATGTAAATGTTTCTACAGTGCGGTAGTTGCCAGATCTGAAAAGACTACACAAGAAATCTTGCTTTGAAAATTGTTCTTAAAAAACTGTGCAGGAAAGTAATTACATAAAGTAAAATATGCATCTACATTTTTCATGTTCTACAGAACTGCTATGGAGATCATTATGCTTTCCTGCTAAAATATCTTAGTACTATCTTTTATATATATATATAATTCAACAAAGAAGATTCCTTCCTTTCTGAGATAGCTGATGCCTGTCAAAGCATAGAGGTTTCTGTTCTTTTATACACTGGAACAAGGTAAGAGGTCAGGTTCTAATTGTTTTTACATAGACTCATAGGCTGCAGATATTTCTGCCTGATGTCAGCACAAAAGTAGGATACAAATCACACCTATATGTGACATTTTCTGTTTGTGTTTGTTTGTTTGTTTGTTTTATCTTCTCTTCATTTAATGGCTACATCAAAGAACATGACAAGATCAATGCCTAACTTACATAATATTTCCTGCAATTTTGCTTGACTTATTTTAATATGGTTGACACTTCTCTCTCATATTGACTTAGAGGTTAAACATCATAAAGCTTCATGTCTCCATTCTGAAAATATCTTGGAATTAGATACTTTCTATGAATTTGCAGTGTTTTTTTGTTCT